CCCCCCCCGGTGGGACAGTTATAGCTAAAAGGACAAATGACCGGTCTAGAGCCATGGAACGAAGGATGATGCTTGAACCCTGTTCTGGAGGTGACAGCCCCCTCCTTCTCCAGAGCCAAAGTCTGAGCCAGGGTTCACGTCTCAGCTGCACTCCTTGGAGCGCAGCCTTTTTTTTCTTTTTTTAGGTATCAGGATTTTTTTTAAAAAAATAATGTCTTTTTAGAGATTTTTTTAGATTTACAGAAAAATAAGCAGATAATGTAAAGTTGGGACCTTGAGTTTCTTCCTCTGAACAGTGGTTTCCTTGTCCAAGCCATGGAGAACGCTGTGCCCGGTGTGCAGGGTGGAGGAGGGTGTGTGAGGTGCCTTGTAAACCAGGCAGCTCCATGTGCACGTTAGCCAAGGACCCAAAGATGAGCAAGCCAGAGCCATCCCCTGGCAGTGCCATGTCCCCAGTGCCAAGCAGCTGACTTCTTCCCCTCCAGGACAAGAGCAACGCCACCAGGGAAACTCTGACCCGAAGGCCTAGTCACCCCAGACCAAATTCACTCCCTCCCACCCTGACGGAAGAAGAAACCCGCAGGATCGCACGGATATTTTCGTCCCAGTACTCCCAGAAAGACTAACAGCCTGAGGGGCTGAGGGAAGCAGCCGCGGCCCACCCTCCCTCCCTCCTTCGGCCCTGACTCACACACAGGAGGCACCAAGTCTGATTCTCTCAGGGCTGTGGCCACGCTGAAACCACCACAAGTGTCGGCCATGGCACCTTGAGACCCGGTCAGCCAAGGCCAGAGCAGTGTCCCAAACCAGCCCAGTTTCCACTTGGCATCTCCACTTCTTTCTACAGCGAAGCAAAGACTAGAAGCAAAACGGATGCCCGCACTCAGTGGCCCACCCACCTTTTGACCAAGAGACTTGCAGGCATCTCTCAGTGGAGAGACTCCTTCCAGTCTCCCAATGACCCTGACAGCTGGGCTGAGCTGAGCTGATCCTCTGCTTGTGGATGAAGGGCCATCTTTACCATGAAGGTTTGGGGTTGGGGCCATGAAGATCGTGCACATCGGGCATAGCCAAGGGGCTCCTACAGCCGCCTCCAGGTATTTGCCTGGGAAATGGGCATTTTATAGATATAAATTATTTTTATGTTGTGTTGAATTAATCGATAGGAAAGGGGGAGAAAATAACCTCCTTCAAACTTCGTATCTGATTGTCTGAAATTCTAACCATGCTTTTAACTTATTGTTTTTACCCAGCTCTGAATGTCATTGTTCCCGCCTATGTTTGAATAAAGTCTTATTGGTATTTGTATTCTGTGCACAAGTGTCCCTGGGTTGACAGAACAAGGGTTCTAGGAGTGTCTGCGCCCTAACTACTGGAGAGAAAGCTTGATGACCGTAAGTCTCCAGGAAGCCCTTCTGGTCCCAGGTCACCAGAACGCTGCTGAGCTCCCACACACAGGTTAGCCTGACACCGGCGTTCCCTTCGCTGGTGCTCCACATCTGTCAGTGCAGGAGCCCCCGGAGCGGGTCCCTCACAACCCCCCTCATCTCCAGGATGGCTAGCTCTGGCTTAGACTGTCGGCACAGACACTTAAACGGCTCCGGTGGACAAAGCTCTGTGGGGAGGAGGGAAAGGCATGGGTGTAGTGTGGCCAGGCGACAGGGTTAGAGGGAACTACCACCACAAGGACCTGGCTTTTCACCCCCATGCACGAGTCACTTCACTGGGTCCTCCGTACACAGCTCTGTAATCTAGATCTTATGATGCCCTTCTGTAGTTAAATCGGAGCTCAAAGAAGTTCAGTGTTTTGCCTCTGTTTATTTAGCTGAGAATTGAATGACAGCACAAGATATGCCAGAGGTGTCGCAAGGCTGCTGTGCCCAGGGCCCAAAGGCACGCCAGCAAGAGTTCCGGATTTGGAGAACTCCTGGGGAAAGGCCATGTGGGCTGGGGCAGTCAGGAAAGGCTTCCTGGAAGAGCCAGGTTTGGGGATAGGTCCAGAGGATTGGCCAGGCCGCGGGCAGCTGTGGAAGGAGAACCAGGAGAGACCTCTTGGCCACACACTGCTGGAGATGGAGGTTAGTCTGGCCCTGCCTAAGCTTCCATGGCCTCATCCGTAGGATGGAGACAACTCCCACTCGCAGGGGTGCGTAAGATCAGATGAGATGGTATCTGTGAAAGTGCTTCACGGGCACTTGGCACATGGCGGACACTTGGGAAATGTCAGCCCCGCCCACTGTCCCGCAGCCCTTGCTGAGGTGAGCCCAGAACGGCTGTGGGACAAGCAGAGTGCGCCTGAGGCACAGGGTGGGGTGTGCCTTCACGTCTGCCTGCTCTGCCTGCTCTGCCTGCTCGCTTTGTTGATCTCGGTTCTCTGAGGTGCAGCCTGGCAGCCCTGCCCCCAGGGCCACAGAGGCCAGCCTCCGCAGGTCACCAGCACAGAGCTTTCAAGGCTGGGGCTCTGCCTCCCTCGGAGCACAGGAGTCTACAAAGAGGGGGTCAGGCCCGGGCCTGTGGCGTAAATCCTCAGGCGGATGTTCCTTCCAAGTCTGCTCCAGTTCCTGTAGATAACCTGGATATCGGGGTCCAGTGAGGGTAAGGCAGTGAGGATGTGGTTTGTTCCTACCCTCGGCCCAGGGCAGCCTCTGGTGACACAAAGGCCTCCTCAGGGTCCGACACCCACCGCTACACTTTTACAAAGACCACGGCACGGTGTCACCCCGGTCCCTGGACATCGGCATACCTCCCAGTGAGGGCTCCAAGGCTTGAGCACAGTCAAGGGTACGAGGAATGAGGTTGTCAGGAAAGTCATGGCATTTTTCTATGCAAAAATGTGCCGACAACCTAATAGATGTGTATTCCCGCGAGCCAAACTAGCCAGTGCCCCCTCTTCCAGTTCAGCACTCCCTCCACGGAGACCCAAAATAGGTGTTGCTGGTCATCCGGAGGCTGCCTGCATCCCAGCCCATAGCAGCAACATTGGGACTTCTCGTGTGGGCTGGACTCTGGAAACCGAGCCAAAGTGGACAGACCTGGCCCTGCGCTCACTCGGAAATCTCCCAGCCCAAAGTAAGCGGAGCCCTCCCCTCGTTTGGGTTCCCACAGTCTGTCGCTCCTCCCCTCCCCTGCAGTTCCCCCACCACCTCCAGGCTAGTGTTCCCAAGTGGAGCTCAGAACCCACTTGTGAGCCCTCCCAGTCTCAGCAGCGCTCACAGCCACCTCCCCTGTAGTGGGGCTGTCCTTTCCGCTGACCGAGGGCCAGGTTCAAGGAAGAGGACAAATACAGCCCAGGCTTTGCACTTGAGCATCTGGACTTCTGACCACTTGCCCTGTGACCATGACTCTGTGCCAAGTCCAGAAATGACCTCTGCCTACTTCTCTGCCCCACCCAGTTACCTCCCTCTTCCCCCTGCCCGTCTGCCCTCCTCTCCCCTACTCCTTCCCAGTGTCTCCAAGGTCACAGGTTCCGCGGTGCCTACCCCTTTCTCTCCATTCTCACCATGGAGCCTGCAGTAGCTGCTACAAGGGACCCTCCCCACCCTGCCCCGGCTGGTTTGGGGTGCACCATCCGTGCTGAGGCCTCCAGGTGTCATGTCATAGGAGGAAAGGCCACAGCAGACAAGCCCCAGATGCATTGTGGTTTACAGACTATAAGGCCAGCCCTGGCATGTGCTGTTATATGACTTTCCCTCCCTGGTATTGTTTTCTCCTCTGTAAATCAAGCATCGAATTTTTAGGATCCTGGGGCCAGCAGGTGGCATGGTGGTTAAGGGCACTGGACTCCCACGTGGGCAACCGTGGTTCGAGTCCCGGACCTGGAAAGCTTGCCTTCTCACTTTCTCTCTCTCTCTCTCTCTCGCTCTCTCGCTCTCTCGCTATCTCTGTTCCGCTCTGGTCAAATTAACATCAATAAATGAATAAATAAAGTTAAATAAAATAATTCTCAAAAAAAAATGTTAGGATCCTGAGGGCTAGGTGGTGGTGTAGTGGTAATGCAACCGGACCCACATGGAAAAGTCCTGGGTTTGCATCCCAAGACCTACCTGAGCATGCCATGTGCACACACACTGCTCATGATCCAGCCCAGCCGAGACGGGAGTGCGGTGAGTCATGGCATGAAGACCCTGTTGGAGGGAATCGTTTTCTCTCATTTTCAGTTTTAGGCTCCTCAGTAATGAAAAGAAACGAAGCGCTAGTGCACACTGTAGCACGGCGAGCGTTGACAGTACCGCCGTGCCCAGAGAGAGAAGCCAGTCACAAACGAGCGCGCACCGCCATGCTGTTCCTAGAACGTTCAGAACAGGCCAATGTCCAGACAAAGCACTGAAGTGGTTGCCCGGGCTCGGGGAAGGGAAGTCACTGAGACACACGGAGTTCTTCAGGGGGTGATGAGGTGTCCTAGACCAGATTGTGATGGTCGCGCAGATCTAAATATACTCAAAACTACCCGGATTGTACACTTCGAGAAGGTAAAGTATATGGAATAAATAAATCCATTATTTCAAAACATCAAGTAGGGGCCACACAGCGACACAGCAGTAAAATGCTGCACTCTTCAAGGCTGACCCGCCTGGGAAAGTTCAGGTTCACGTCCAGAGACTCCCCTGATCCAGGGCTGGATTGTGGCATCAGGACCCTGTTGAGGGTGCTCTCTCTGTCTCTTTCACTCATGGAAGAAATAAATAAGCTTAAAAAATGACACTTTGGGGGCCAGCAGTTGGCGTAATGGCTATGTCGCTGGACTCCCATGTAGTTGACCACGGTTCAAGTCCGGGAACCGGTGACTTAAACTCACGCCAGGCACATGTGCATGCGTGCCCAAGATCCCAAGAGGAGAATGGAGGAGAAGAAATTGCAGTGTGGCCATCGCCCCGGGGGGGGATTTCTCATTTCCTGTCTCTCTGTCTTTCTCTGTCTTTCTGGCGAGCACACACGCCCTATAGCAAAAACCTCTAAAAATAAATAAGTACAATAAAATACAATTTTTAAATTGAGAATCCTAGTAATACCTCTCACAGGGTTGTGAAAAATGAAAGTAGTGTATGGGGCCGGCATGGTGATTAGAAGCACTTGATTTCCACGTAGCCAACCGCAGTTCAAGTCCTGGACCTGGCAGCTTGCTTTCTCGCTTTCTCTTTCTGTCTGTCTGTCTGCTCAAATTAAAAAATAATTATAACAAATGGAATTAAATAAGTAGTTGTGTTTTTTTTTTTAAGAAAAGAAAGTAGTGTGTGTAAAATATCTAGCATGTATGGATAGTAGGCTCCAAGAAGTGACAGTACCATCATTGTTATTGTTTTTTTTTTTTTTTTTTTTTAAGAGAGATTTTTTTGCTATAGGGCACATGTGCTCACTGGAGAGGTAGCGACAAAGAGACAGAAGTGAGAAATCATCCCCCTGGGTGATTTCTCCTCCATTCTCACCCCCCTCCTCCTCCATTCTCCTCCTAGGATTTTGGGCACACGTGTACGCACATGCACCTGGCATGAGTTTTAAGCTACTGGGTCTGGGACTTGAACCATGGTTGGCCATGTAGGGAGTCCGGTGATGTAACCATTATGTCATCTGCTAGGCCCATCATTGTTATTTCTTTTTAATTTATTTTTAAATATTTTAAGAATTATTTATTGATTTTCACTTGTATGGGGCACGTGTGCTCACCAGAGAGAAAACAAGCTGCTAAGTCCAGGACTCAAACCACATCGACCATGTGGGAGTCCAGCACCTTAACCACCATGCCACCTGCTGGCCCCTATCACCACTGTTATTAAGAGGAGGTCTGGCAGAACCCTTCCCAGCCTATTGCAGGAAGCCTTGATCTTTGATCTCTCAAAAGTGACAGGTCCACACCACCCTTTGCCCCTATACCCTTATCACCAAGGAAGCTCTTCTACAGCATGAAGGAGGTATATTAAAGAGCCCCGAGTTAAGAGAGCCCAGCCAGATCTGGAATGCACTGGCCTCCCCAACCTCCCTGCCCCTCACCAACCCGCCTGTTGTCAAGTGATCAGGCTGTCACTAGCTGCTCCAGGATAAGGTTTCAGGTCAGCCAAGTGTATAAAGACTAGTGCCAAGCCGAAGACAGCAGAGACGGCAGTGAATGGCAAGGAGGGGCTGTCTGGTCCCTGCTGCTGCCTCCTGGGATGGAGCCCTAAGGAGCCCCCAGCTGCCCCTGCCCTGGCTGGACTCACAGGTGAGACCTCTTCTTTCCCCTTTCCCCTCCCCTCGTCTTCTTCTTTCATCATAAGCTTCCAGAGAGCAGCCTAGAGCTAGCAGGGGTCACTAGCCATAGCAT